CCAGGCCCTCACCTTTGACCCCTCGGCGTTTGCCGGCACGCTCTACTGCCCCGACCCGTTCATAGTCTGCAACACGGCGCAGTGCTCGCCGGCGTGCGGGGCCAACGCTGTCTGCACCGGCGGCTCGTGCGAGTGCTTGGACGGCTACGTCAAGGCGTCGAGTGGCGAGTGCAACCCTGTCTGCCCGAACGCGTGCTCGGGCAACGGCGCGTGCGACACGGGCCGCGCGACCTGTACGTGCAACAGCGGCTTCACGGGCCCGAGCTGCAACACCACGGGCGGTGCCGCCACGACCACGAAGGGCAACCATGCGCACGCCGTCGCCCTCCATGGGCTCGTGGCCATCATCGCTATCGTCCTCCTCCACGTGTAGCCGTGCTCGCCTCTCGATGAGAATCAATGCACAAGAGTTGATATCCACATACAGACATATAACTTTAATCGCAGTCGACCACGGAAGTCGAGACTTGGTGGCACGGTTCTCGACGCGCGAACCTCGTCGGTCGAGGGTAGAAACAAGCAGCCTGTTGACGCGCCACGCTGACGCGCCACTGCACCGACCAGCTTGGGTGGTGGCGCGCTCTCTGGTCTCTCTCAACAGTCGAGAGAGATCCCGCACGAAGAGGACGTTCGAAACACCATAAATCAGCTCGAAGCACGCATGGTCGTCCTCGTCGCTGCTTCAGTCCTCTCAGGTAGCTGGTACTAGTAGCTGGTAGCTGGGAGGTGCCATTTTTGTCCAAGTTGCCACTCATTATACTCGTTCCGAATCGTCGGCTTCTGCCGGGCTCGAAGCGGCGTCGCTTCCACGGGTTGCGCCCGCCTTTCTGCGGTACCCACGAGCACTGAATTTCCGTCGTCAACATCGCCAGGCTCGGCTCGAAATGACTATGGATCTCAGTATACTAGTTTGTGAGTGTTGGTGGTCGTCTCTCGAAAACCATCTGCGTTTCGATTGCATTGAGAGAGTTGTCCGGCATCCGCGTCTCTGATTGGCTCGCACGTGGCGGACCGGGCGTCTGTGAGTTACAGCTTCCAACCGGCCAAGTCTCTGGCAGCGCCACCACGTGCTTCTGCAGCTTGCTACAACACATCACTCGCATGGGCATGGGCAGCACTGTCTCCGCATACGATTCGCCTGCTGACCACCCACGAGCTCATTCGTCGATCGGCCATCGCAGCATGGGAAGCATGGTCGAGACGAGCATGACCTCCGCGGGCACCGCGAGCTTTCTCCAGCACGCCGACGTGATGATTGCATCCGTCGACGACTCGTACGAGGGCGGCCACCGGCACACCAAGTACATCATCCAGGTCACGGAGCGCGGCCACGGCCACTACGTCGTCTCGCGCCGGTACTCGCAGTTCCGCGTGCTCGCCGACGCCGTCCGCTCGATCCTCTCGCGCACCAAGACGCGCGCGACCAAGTCCAACGCCGCCCACGACGCAGCCTGCCTCGCGCTTCGCGGGTTTCAATTCCCAAAGAAAGTGATGCATTTCGGCTTCCTCGGCACGCCGTCGACGGCCAAAGAGGTCGTGTTTGACCGCCTGCGGCAGCTGCACCTGTACCTCCAAACGCTCTGCCACGTGCTGCGGACATTCCATTGGGATGTAGCGTCGCAGAAGCTCAATGCAATGGCTCGCGACCAGGCCACCATGCTCGCGCGGCTCCTCCATGGCTTCCTCGCCGTGCCGGCCACCTTTGGCGTCAACCCGAGTACGTATGTGCACACGAACCCAATGTGCCGCAACTTGGCGTCGGTCTACTGCGCGCAGCACGCCGTCCTCCAAGAGAACGCGTCCAAGAAGCAGCAAGAGTTTGCAGTGCAAGCCGCGCACCGCGCCAAGCCGTATGCGACCATGATCGACACCTACGGCACGGCGCTCGAGTCGCAGTGGCACCCGAGTGGCACGCTCCGGTCGTCGCGTGCGCCGTCGTACCCGGTCTACAACCGCAGTACAAAGGCGTCCGTGGTGCGCCCGAGCATTGTGTTTTTACACGACGACGACCCGGCGTCGTCTCTGCACCACGCGCAGCAGCGCAACAACCACAGCAGTAGGCTCTCGATGGACGACGACATCCCGCTTCTCTGCAGCTCCTCCGACTGTGGTTCCCCACGCGACACCATCTTCCTTGGCGATTAGCAGCCATCCTTCCCTCCGTGTCTTTAAGTTATAGTATCATCCAAGTAGTAGTAAATTGTCCAACGCCGCTGGCCTTTCCGAGTTTGCACTTGCATAGCTCGCAGCTCTATGGACGAGAAAAGAGACAAGCACAATACGACGAGTCTTCCAGACAGACCTACTGCAGCGTAGTATCGCTTTACGTAGCCAGAGTGCCAGGTTGCGTCGGCTCGCGCATGTTGTCCTCACTCTTCACGGCGTTGGCGTCATTCGTCGTAGCGCTCGCTTTCCCACCACACTTTCTTGCAAGTCTGCTAAGGGTTCATGGACGGTACACAACTTGGACAGCAGGACGCTCTCGACATGCCAACCGAAGACAGCTCACGTTTGCGGCCATGCTTGGGAGATGTCGATGGGGCAAGAAGCTCCCGTCGACGACCTTCTGTCGAGTGTAAGGCTGTTGACTTCAACGGTGTCAAGCTCACTGTAAGTGTGCTTTGCGTGGGACGATGCAAGATGCAGAAGAGAGAGAATGGGACGTCGTGGGTTAGGAGGACACCATCGAATCGGTTTAGGCCAACGCCTCGAGCTCGGCTTGGAGCGCAACTTCGTTCGCAAGCTTGGCGAGCTGGTCCTCGTTGAGCGTATCGCCGTT